TATGGAGTCTTGTGAGCAAAAATTCTACTTTGTAACCTACTGGCATTAAAGTTGTGAGCGAGCAACTTGGCTACTGCATAAATTAGTTTTCTCTGGAGCCACATCCTTCCTGAGCTAAGACGAAAATGTGTGAGCTGGAGGCTAAAAAACTGTGAGCTAGCTACCCTCTAAACTATGGAGTCTTGTGAGCAAAAATTCTACTTTGTGAGCGAGCCGCTTGGCTACTGCATAAATTAGTTTGCTCTGGAGCCACATCCTTCCTGAGCTAAGACAAAAATGTGTGAGCTGGAGGCTAAAAAACTTGTGAGCTGGCTCACACTAACTCAGCGTAGAGGGATCACTGATTGTGACCCGCTATTATTAATCGGCTCTCTTGTTTATGGTGGTGAGGCGTATTCGGGAGAGCTTCTTTGTGTGCTGTGACCCACTGTGAATTCGGAGGAAGTAGATTTTTACACCTTATGGAGCCGTATGTTTTGTGCTCACCCTGTGTACGAATTTGCATTGAGGACTGCACGTTATGTTGTTTGTTCAGTGAGTCATCAAGTTTTTGCGAGGGGTGGAAAATTGATTATGACACATTCTGAAATTGTCTACTGAGATAAGTCTGTTGATAGGCAGCCAAACTTTTTGGGTAAATAATAACAAGATGGAAAGACATATCAGCATTGTTGTGATTGTGTTTGTACAAGTCTTAAAGTTTGGTTACCTCGGGCTTAGTAAAAATGGTACACTGAGTTCTGGAGTTACCATATTTTGAAAAGCAAAAAAGAGGACATGTTTCCTGACTGACTACTTCAAACAAATGATCACTATGACAAATCTTATTTGAAATACCCCTACTATCTAAGCTGTGATAATTGCAACGAACTAGGAATGTTCCTGCTAAGGGCTGCGGTGGCTCAGAGGTTAAGACACTGAGCTGCAGACTGGAAGGTCTGTAGTTCAGCAATTCGAGACCCGAGTGCTGCGTGACGGAGTGAGCTCCCATCTCTGGCCCTAGTCCTGCCAGCCTAGCAGTTCGAAAGCAAGAAATTGCAAGTAGATAAATAGGTATCGCTTTGGTGGGAAGGTAACAGCGTTCCGTGTGCCTTGGTGTTTAATCACGCCGGCCACATGGCCACGGAAACATCTTTGGACAGCGCTGGCTCTTCGGCTTGGAAACGGAGATGAGCACCGCAACCCTAGAGTAGGATTCGACTGGCTTTCGAGCAAGAGAATGTTTACCTAGGAATGTTCCTACCCTTCCAGCCCCCAAAGAGGACAGTTTCGTCAGTTTTTTAAGAAGAGCCTGAAAGAAGACAGACTCCAAAAAAGAGGACATAGTTTAACATTAGGATAGGAGAAATGACCTAGTGGAGGTTTTTGAAGTGCTGAACTGGGAGGGGGGAAGTCAAAGTGCCTTAAGGTTTTCTTTTCATATGTGCTACACAACTAGTAGGAGCTGCAGTGGCTCAAGTGGTTAAGACGCTGAACTGCAGGCTGTGGAAGGTCAGTAGTCCAGCAGTTCAAGACACGGGTGCCGCATGACGGAGTGAGCTCCCGTCTCTAGTTCCAGCTCCTGCCAACCTAGCAGTTCGAAAGCAAGAAATTGCAAGTAGATAAATAGGTACCGCTTTGGTGGGAAGGTAACAGCGTTCCGCGCGCCTTGGTGTTTAGTCATGCCGGCCACATGACCACGGAGACGTCTTCGGACAGCGCTGGCTCTTCGGCTTTGAAACGGAGATGAGCACTGCAACCCTAGAGTCGGATTCGACTGGCTTTCAAGCAAGGGAACCTTTACCTTTACCTTTTACACAACTAGTGCCACGTGAGAAGCAATAATTTCTTCTAATTTCTGGTAACTTTCTAAGCAGTATCATGCCATGAAAATCTGGTTGTGGATGCTACTTTTCAGCAACGGAAGGGTTATAACACACAGCCCAAGTCTAGATGATGTGTAACTTCTTAGTTAAGGTCTGATAGCGTGAATCTTGCTGTCTGTTCGCAAGGTGCCAGATGGCACGTAGGCTACTTTTTGCTGCTAATTGCTGAATCCTGATGAATCCAGGCATGCGTACAGTATACCAAATATATTTCATCATGTCTGGGGACATGGTTCTCCCAGTATTCTGTATGAGGTGATGGAGCGTGTTCTTGGACCAAACCTTGGTTGCAGTGGCAAATTCATAAAATAACAGTGTGTATAGAGGCACCTTAAATGACTTTACGCAGCTATTGTGCCATGTGTACGCACACACAGGTTAAAACCAGAGGAGGACAGCATGAGTACTTATTACAGAAGGGAAGCCACAAGTCCTCAGCATTCCACGAGAACATAAAAAGACCCCTGCTGGATCAAACTTATGGTTATCGAACATCTAGTCCAGTATTCTGTCTCACACAGCAGCCAACCAGTTCCTCTGGAAGGCCAACAACAAGGCATAGAAGCCAAGGCCTTCATAAGAACAAAAGCAGAGCCCTGCTGGATCAGACCAGTGAGGGCCCATCTAGTCCACCATCTTGTCTCACACAGCGGCCAACCAGTTCCTCCAGAAGGCCAACAACAAGGCATTGAGGCCAAGGCCTTCATAAGAACAAAAGCAGAGCCCTGCTGGATCAGACCAGTGAGGGTCCATCTAGTCCAGTATCCTATCTCACACAGTGGCTAACCAGTTCCTCTGGAGGGCCAGCAACAGGGCACAGAGGCCGAGGCCTTCCCCTGATGTTGCCTCCTGGTTCCGGGATTCAGAGATTTAGTTCCTCTGATCGTGGAGGTTCCCCTCAGCCACCATGGCTAGTAGCCACTGATAGATCCTCCCCTCCATGAATCTATCCAATCCCCCTTT